GTGGATCAAATCCCTAGCTCGTTGTCTGCACTCACTCGCCGTCAAGTCCTCGTCTAAGTACGCTCGGAGAAGTACTGTCACAGTGTATCCCGTGCTCACCAGTTGCTCTTCTACACGCATCACCGTGGCCGTCCTTCCCGGCATCCCCTAAGCCGCGACCTCGAAGAGAAATCTCGCGTCCTCTAGCCCCGCGTAATCGATCTCTGCCCGTCTTCTGCGGTACCTAATCAGATCGATAGGTCTCAAACAGTCCACCCAGCTCGTAACATCTATGATGTCGTCAAGTGTCTCTATGCTGGGCGGCCCCCACCTCACACAAATGGCATAGTATACTCCCTTGAAGCGGGGCGCTAAGCCCTCCCAGAGCGCGTAAAGTGTGTGATCCACTKCTCTCCTCAAACGATCCACGCTGCCATAGGTCTGCCCTATCACGAAGGTAGGAACCCCGAACCGCCAATCCTTTCTCGGGTAGAGGGTCGGATGTGGTGGACCGTATACCAAGCAGCTCCTACTCGTCCTYCCTCCAGCGAGTCTCGCCAATTGCTGATTAACGATCACTCTGGCCAACAACTCGCTCCTCCACCAACTCCTGCTCGCCCCTGCGAGCGTTAGCCCTATCTCTAAATCGTGTGTTCTATCCGCTATTAGATGTCCGACCCCTTCTAGATCATGAGTCCTCTCGGGTCGTTCGTCTCGTAGTATCACTGTCCAAAGGAAGAACCCCTCAGCGAGTCACGTTCCCAAGTATCGTATCGGTACACGCCCTGCCTCTTCTATCGCAACAGGAAGTGGTATGTCGTATCCAATCGCCGTCTCTCTGGGTCCCACAAGCTTCCTCACACTATACGATTCTGACTCTCTTGAGAAAACATAAGCTAACCAGGCCGCTGAATCACTCCTCATTTCTTCTCCTACTCTCGGTCAGCATCTCTCTACTCCCTCCGATACACCCCATCTCTCGACGTTGCTGACCCTTCTGACAACTCTCCTACTTAGGTCCAGTATGGTCGAATAGGTTCAGTACCTAGGCTCACTCAACCGTCGCCGTGGTGCGCTCCTTTACCTCCTACGCCCGAACCGCTACTCCTATCCTGGGAAAATGGGCGTCTATAACGTCAATCTCCTCCTCGTCAACCTCACTATCTGGATCGACCCAGTCTGGCTCTCACAGCTCCTCGTCATCTACTCGCTCTCAACCCTCGTCGTCAAACTCGTCCTCGGCGCGGTATGGCGCCTGTCCTATAGCCTGGTAGTATTCCGTCAACTGATGGCCGTATATCAGAGGTCGCCCGGCGTCCTCATTCCACCAGCTCCCCCAGTCGTTTGAGAAGAGCCGCCCGATGCAAGTCACGTACTCGGGGCCTGCTCGGAGCTCACGGTCTAGCCAATCCCAAACGCACG